CACAGGCACACCCAGTAATGTGCTTTTGACTTTCCCAGGCTTGCTCATTGTGCTCAAATTTGCAAGCTAGTTTAAAAATCGTAAGGGAAAGAACCTAAAACAACAACAACAAAAATGCAAACTAAAAACTAAAATACATTCCAATAAAGATGAAAATCTGCCATCTGACATTTCTTCAAGAAGGAACAATTTGCAATTCCTATAATAGGAAAGATACAATTTCAGAGTAATCTGTGGATTGAATAAATACATCCTCCTCAACCATTTACCATAGTATATATGTGTGTTTGTGTGTAAATGTGTTGCGTGTGTGTGTTTGTGTATGTATGTATGTATGTGTGTGGGGTAGGAAATGCATAAGAAACATTTCCTCTGACCCAGCCTGTAGGAATTGTGCTTTCAGTGCTTTTCAGTGACACAACTTTGATTATATGTTACTCTTTCTGTAACTCTTCATAATCTTCTTCCTAGTTTTCTTGATGGGACAATGTGGAAGAGAAATAAACTCTCACAACCTTTATACTTTTTTTTCCCTCCCTGGGACTTGAACTCAGGGCCTGAGCATTGTCCCTGAGCTTCTTTTGCTCAAGGCTAGCACTCTACCACTTGAGCCACAGCGCCACTTCTGGCATTTTTTGTTAATGTGGTTGGTACTGAGGGCTCAAACCCAGGGCTTCATGCATGGTAGGCAAGCACTCTACACTAAGCCACATTCCCAGCCCAACTTACAGACTTTTAAAAAACCAAAATAGTATAACAATAAACCTCCAACTTAGATGTACTTAAACAGTATGCAGAGAATTGTATAGCTTTTTATATTGGACTTGGCCATCTTTTGTTTTGTCACAGCTGATCATAGAAATTTGCTGTAAGGCTCAGTTCCTTCTTTTATCTCAGGTCTGCTGTTCATACAGGGGCTTGGGTGAAATTCACCTTCAGGCTGCATAATATTCATTGTATTTGTAGAATGGTCGTGACGGAAGATCCCCTACAGATCATCAAGTCCTCAAAATCACTTCCTTTTTTTCCGCTTACTTGCTTTCCTTCCTTCCTTCCTTCCCTCTTTCTCTCTCTCTCCCTCCCTTCCTTTCTGTCTGTCTTTTCTGTCTTTCTTGTCTTTCTTTCTCCTTCTCATATTAGAAAACAGGAGTTGAAAGAAGAGGTGCTCAGTAGTGGTAGAGGATTTGTTCTATACTTTCTGAATGTCAGGCTAGCAATCTATTTGATCATTAAAACTCCTTTTTTTGCCATCAATTCAGTTTTTAATTCAGTTGCATTTTTCTCTTCAGTAGCTCTTCTCCTATTACTTTGCTTTCAAGTTATAGATCTGAAAGTGCAGTCAGTGAAGTCTTGGCTCTCTTGCACATTCTCCGTGCTGACCTATCCTTTTCTAAACTCCCTTTCATCTGGGCCAGAAATGTCCCAAGTTTCTCCTGGTATATCTTGTAGGTTGACCTATTTGGGCTTGGCTTTCAAAAGAGTTTTTGTCTTGACCTATAAGACTGATACACAGCCTTGTTCTACCCTCACCAAAAAGTCCAATTATGGAGAAGACGAATGAAAATTATAGCTTGAAAAGAGTAAGTTAGAGTTCTGCTTTTAACCCACATGCCATTTGTAGCAACTTTTCATTACTTTTATCCCACACTTGCAATTTCATTTCTTGGGTACAATTTTTGTGAATTTTCTTTTGATGTTGGCAGTAGTAGGGTTTGAACTCTGGGCTTTGTGCTTGTTAGGCAGATGCTGTGCTATTTGACCCTCACACCCCCTTTTCATTTACTTTAGGGTCTTGTGTTTTGCCTGGGTTGGCTTCGGTGGACAATCTTCCTACCTGCTCAGTTAGAGCAGACATGTGCTATCGCGCCTACTTGCTAGTTAAAATGGGATATTTTATTGACTGGCCTGGACTAGATATGCGGTCTTACCTTCTCACTGATGTCAAAGAAGTCTCCTCAAAGACATGTCATTACCATTATATTATTATTATTATTACTAGTGTGTGTGTTGCTAAGGATTGAACACCTGGCACATAATTCTTTGATGTAATATCTAAAATGAAAAATGTGTGGCTGGCAAATGGAGAAGACTTTAAATGCTGTGCCATGGGGATTTATTTTTATTCATTAGGCAATGGTAATCTTTTTAGAATGATCTTTGAAGGAGAGCGCAGCATATCACTTTTTTTTTTTCAAAACACTGGGGCAATGGGTAGTTTAAAACAAAATGTAAAGGTTTCCCCTTTTGAAGCCATAGACACAATGGAAGTAGGACTTATCAAAGGCCTGAAATAATGTGGAGAGTGAGGAGAGGAGTTACTAGAGGAGAGATGCAGGAGTCTTGGTGGATAGCTACTGTTAGGACATGTAATCCTGGTGCTGCCACTAAGATCTTACCCTTTACTCATTCAGTCAACAGAGGCTAACAGGGTGAGGAGTCATTCAGTACTGCCAAGAACTTCATGGCCAACCCATCCATGACTAGTTCTTATTAGATGACTCTTTCCAAGATCCTAGTAGACAGAAACTAAACGCTTTCACTTATTAGTGGCAGACAGCAACAATTCTCTAAAGTAACCCTTTTGTGGCCAAACTTACATCTATATTACTGCTTAGCAAGCCATATGTTTAATTTCTTTACAATTTTGCAGTTAGTTCCAGCCGACAGAACTAGTACCTAAAGAGATTAGGTGGGATAATTTAGTAGTTATATTCAGTGGCCCTTAGTAGTTGTTTACTTTTCGAAACCAATTTCATCAGATCTCAGAGGAGAGCAGCAGATATAGACCAGACCAGAGATACGTATATCAAAACTCTGGGTGGCAAGCTAGAAAAAGCAACTAGCTGGTTGAGGATGAAAAGAATTTAATCATTGTACAGAGATCATCCAGAAGCCTGGGAAGCCAGGCAGGAATAAAGGTGATTAATCAGTTACTAAATCCACAAATTTACACAGAGCAAGAGTTACCCATCCTAAACAGATGTCAGGGGTTTGCCTTTCACTCACTAGATATGGGATCGTGGAGTGGATGTTGTCCCTACTGATAGAAACTGATGCTGTCAGCATAGTCCCGTGCCCCCTTCCCGGACTTTCTGACTTAATCGTTAACTTGCGGTTTCCCAGATGTGAAGGTTAAAAGGCAAATATCTAACCACTAGAGTTCACTTCTAGATCTGTCTAGTTTTGGTGACTTGAGAGTACAGTAACAAGCCAAACAAAACACATTTAAAGAAAAACCTTACTGATATAAACCTGGAATTTTAAAGACAGAAGTGACATTATTTAGATCAGACTCCAAAAGGAAGCCCTTCTTAAAAAAACGTTTTATAGAGTATCAGTGCATTTTAAATAAAAAGGGCATCGTTGCACTCTAGCTCCCCCTCTTATTTTATCTGATACACACCAATATGTCAGCCTCTGAAAACTCTGCAAAGAATTCCGAGGTCTATAATCACACTAAGAAATTGTGAAAGAAAAATCATTTTATAGTTTAGAATTTCTTAAGAAGGCTAGAAAGTTGAGTAGAAACAATAATGAATTCAGGCTTTAAAAAGTCAAGATGAATTTCTTTTAATGTCACACAGTTATTAAGGCAAAACAGAACTTCACTGTGTTCTGGTGCTTTTTTCAGATCAAACTGTCTTGGTCTCTATTTCTTCTCTTGAAAAAGAAATTCCTCACGTAGATGTTAGATTTGACGGGGGGGGGGAGAGGGGTGGAAGGGAGAGAGAGAGAGAAAGAGAGAGAGAGAGTGTGCACGTATGTGTGCATGTGTATTGGTCCTGGGACTTGCACTCAGGGCACGGATGTTGTCTCTGAGCTAAAAGAGCTAGAAAAAGGCTAGAGCTCTACCATTTGTGCCATAGCTCTACTTCTGGCATTTTGATGGCTAACTGGAGATGAGCCTCACAGACTTTCCTGCCCAGGCTGGCGTCAAACTATAATCTTCAAACTACTCAGCCTCCTGAGTAGCCATGAGTCCTGCTTTTTTAAAAAGGCAATTAAGATTCTTCTAGCACAATATTAACTATTTCAATTCTCAAATATTTTTATTTTGTAATCCACCTGTCACATATAAACAATTGTATATCCTAGATTTAGAGTTACCACAAAATTATTTGTAAAACTGGTTTAAAAATTATTCAGGAAAAATTTAAATATTCAGATTTATGCTATCTACAAATGATCTTGAATATTTCATCCATTTCCTATTTTTTAATGTTTTTCCTTGAAAAGCCAATTCAAATGCTTTATTCTCATACACTTAAAGTAGAAGAAACACAAATATCTGTGAACAGATGAGAGTGTGAAGAAATTCTAATACAACCATACAGCAGTATACCATTCAGCTAAAAGGGAAATCAACTGCTGATCCTTTAACTACAATGGATGAAATTCAAAAGCATGCAGTTGAATGGAAAAAGCCAGAGGCAAAGGATTACAGACTGCAGGAGTGTGCTTGTCTAAGCTAAAGCCTGTGTGTACAAATACAGATCAGAGCAGTGGGTCAAAGGGAGATGGAATTTAAAACACTGGAAAGTGAGCCAAAAAGTAATGACTATATAGCTATTTATATTCATTAAATTCAATTTATAAATTCAATTTATATTCATCTTAAAATGCCTGTCTTTACTGTATATAAATTACATCCCTATCTAGTTAGGGTGCAAAGGATTAAACCCAGGGTCTTGCATATTAAATAAATGCTATACCACTGAGTTGCATGCCCCAGATTTACACCCCAATTAAAAAAAATGTACATATAGTAAATTGCAGAGACGATCTTATTTTGTTCTGTGGATCCTTAGGACACAGAAAATTGTACGTATCAAACAGAACGTAAGATTCTCACAAGAAATTGAGAAATCATCAAGTAAGACATGTCTAACATGTGAGACATTAAGTAAGCTACATCCCCATCAAGAAAACAATTTTAAGTTAGATTCCCTAAAAATGCAGGCTAGCCATTTAAAAGAATAGGTACTCTTGAAAAAATCCACTAAAGTTATAACAAAATATTTTATTGTTGTAAAATTAAAAATAGACAAGCTTATATAGTTACAGTTTCAAAGCAGAATACAAATATATAAATTATTGCAGTTTTCAAAGAAAATATAACCAAACAATATCTAATAAGCTTTCTGAAACAAAATTTTAAGTTTTTACTATAGCAGTTCCATTCTCTTCCAAATATCTTAGCACAATTTTGTAAAATAAATTTCTAACACCAAAGCAAGTATATTAAAGTTCAGTGGCCATAGCATAGACTTAGTTTTAAAGTGAGGTACACTTTACACACACACTCTCCCCTCTGTAACAGTAGGAACAACATTCAAACTGTCACTTCTGAACACCTTTTCTAAACTCCTTCTTTTGGAAATAATAGGACAGAAAGGAAATACTACTTTAGATATGTTGAAAGGAAGCCAGGAATGAACAGTATAGCTGGGATAAGTTCAACAAGCACTATTTGGGGGGCGGGTAGTATTTCCATGATTGTTTAGCTTCACTTCGGTAAGGTTAAAACCGTGGACTGTTCAAAATCACTAAGATGCATTACTAATGTGGACTATTAAACTAAAAGTAGTACTTAAGGTATATATTACATTAGGTAAATGCTAAAGAATTAGATCTTGATGCTAGAGACTCTCAATATATGTTTTATGTGAAGATAACATAGCCTGAAGTTGCTTAGTAGGTTTGAGTGTGCCATAATGGGGACTGCTGTGGAAATATGAAGTAAAATGAAAACACTGAGATGTAAGACATATTTGATATTCCAAACCTAGCAACAGGTGCTACAGCCCAATTCACTCACTATACTGGTTTAAACGGTTTTCTACCCATCACCACAGAAACGTAACCAGGCAAGAATGACTTGAGGGCTTTATCTCTGATATATGCCACTTCCTTCAATAATCTTTCTACTAATCTAAAGCTAAGGATGCAGTCATATTCTAAAATGAAACCAATTATCTCTACTGTAACATCACATCTGAACAGAAGGTATTTCAAAAATTCATAGAGTTTTACACTTCTTAATAAGTATTTTAAAATACTCTTACTTTAGCTTAAGCAATAACATCATCTGTCAGTAAAGGAACTATGATAAAAAATAACACAAGAACTTTTCAATGTACAATTTATGTTTCATGGACACATAACCTTCTATGGTTACTAATCTGAATCTTTTTACTAAAACTGCACAAAGAATGTAATCTTTAAAAATCTCTACTTAAGAGCATATGTTTTGCTAAGTTAATAATGAAAGCTTATTTTCCTCTAAGATGAAACAAAAAAGCAAAAGTGGTAAATATTAACACATACAAATCCAAAAACTTACTTTAAATTGAGGGACAAACCTTAACAGTGTAAACACCAAGGAGGATAATAAACAAAAATATTTTAAATCATTTTCAATAACAAAGGATATGATAGAACTTAAGACAAAGAACTCTTCCGATAGCTATTAAAATGACAGCAAAATAGAATTTTTTGGTTGCCATTCCTAAAATCACTTTCCAACATAAGCTTGATACTTTAAATTTTTTAAATGTATATAAAAATGGGCACTTCCTGGTGAAATAAACACACATTTAAAAAAACTAAGGACATCTCTTTTCTCTAACATTTTACATAAAAGATCACATAATTGAACAAAATATCACGAGGCTGCTTGAATCATCATCTTGTTAGTGGTCTCAAGTGCATGTCTTCTTTCAAAGGACTTATTTATTTTTGGCAGGTCTGAGGTTTGAGCTCAAGGTGCTCTACTTGTTGGACCGGTGCTCTACCATTTGAGCAATGACCCCTGACCTTTCATTGCTTTCTTTTTCTGATAAGTCCTCTCACATTTTCTTAGCCTGCCTCACACTCCAATCCTACCTATGTCTCCCATGTAGTTATGTTGAGATGGGGGTCTTGCTAACCTTGTTGCTTGCACTGGCCTCAAACCATGATTCTCCTTATTTTTGTCTCTTTAGTAGCTAGCTGGGATCATAAGCGTGGTAATATGCCCAGCTCAAAGGAGTAGTTTATATGTTACTATTCGTCAAAAGATAAGACATATTCTCAAAATATAAAGTTGGATAATTTAATGGGGATCAAACACGGGGCGGCTTCCAGTATGGTAAGTAGAAGAAAACCTAATCTTTAAAGAAAAACCATCATATGGTTAAAATCACTTGACTGCAGATCTTTACAAAGATTTAACTTGTCTAATTATAAAATCAAAGCTGAAAAAAAATTATTTTCTGTCCTTGATCACATAAGCTCTGAAAAGTCAGTAATGACTGAATAGCAATCTGTGTTTTGAAAGTGAAGCCATACTTGAGATTTTCTTTGAAAACTTTCTCAACATGTACTGAAAACAGAACCGCTAAGTACAGAAACCTGCGTATGTGGTAGTTCATGCTCTCTCGTTAGTATTCAACTCTCCCTGATCCTTATTTTTGCATATATAGCAATTGCATATTCAATCACGAAAGCATGGAAATATGTATAACACATATTTAGGATACAATGCTATGCAAAATATTTCAACTTTTTTTTTTCTAGAAATTCATTTGAGTAAGTACTAGATATTAGTACCAGCACCACAGATAGTTTTAGGAGCACCTTTCCTTTGAAAAGATTAAGTAGAAGTATCTATGTGGATTAAGTCAGAGTCCCTAATTAAGATCTTAGTACATGCACATTCCCACACAATTATTGCAAACTCATTAGTAAAGCTACATACTTGCCAGAAAACTCTTTTAAGAGAGGAGCAAACATTTTCTTTGGATAACACTGTTGTATTTAGGACTGCACCATATGGCTCATGTTCTGCAAATACACTACTACTGGTATCAACTGCAACACATTGCAAACTTTTATGACTCTCCTGAAGTCATCTAAACAGAAGTCCAAATATGTGCAACCACATTTGCTCATAATATTAATGAATTATGCCCAAAAGAGTAAATTCAAAAGGTAACCATAACAACTAAACACTAAAATACTTATCGGCATGACCAGAACACGTCTTTAATCCAACTTGTAAATTTAGACACTTTCGAACTGCCACACATTCGGTTTAAAGCTTATCAAAACTAAGGCAACACATCCACTTCACTCGTTGGATTTTTTAAGTTCATTTTAGACGGCTCTCAAAGAACTGATATTGAAAGGGGCTTTTCACAAGCACTTTGACTGTTTAGCTTATTTCAAAGAAAAACAAAAAAATTAATGGCATATCAACATACTTTCAAGGAGATTTAATACATTTTAGATATACAAAGTAGCTTTCAACTGGATGGACACTTTTTTTTGAATAGTCAAATACTGTTTGTGTTTAAGATTGAAATCTGACCCAAGCCCAGGACTGGCTGTCAGATTTAAGGCAGCCGTCATCTGTATCTTTATACACGAAGCTGCCAAGTTAATGGAGTTTCTTTGAGATTCTTTCGAGCATAGAGAAATAGGAAAATACATTCTAAGTACCATTTAAGGACCATGGATATACTCTTTACTATAGCATAAAATTTACCTAGTTGTTTTAGATAACCTATTAGTTAAGAGTTCTGAAAACATAGGCAGTTTATAAGAATATCCTTTATATGGGCTTACTTTTGTTGAACTAGGAGTTTTCTTTTTCTTGTGTCAAGCAATTTTACCTTTCCTATTAGACTGTAAAGTTTAGAAAAATATTTTAAAATGCTTTCTTATGCACTGAATTAAATGATATTGAAAACAAAATTTGAACAGTTTAATAAGAATTTTTTGAAATGTATCTGAAGTGGCACACAGAATTTTTTTTCCAAAAATAGTACAAAAAACAATTTCAACTTGAAAAATATATATTACATTTGACTTGGAAGGGAGGCTTGGCTGACTCTGTCCAAATTCTAACATAACAAAAATCATTAGAAGTGAAGTAACAATGAACAAAATAGAAGCTGTGGTTTCTATGGGGAAATTAGATGATTATTCTCTTCTTATCCTGGGATTGCTTTAGTTAGAAAACAAAATAATGCATTTATTTATTTGATTATTTGCTACAAAAGTTATTAATTTCACCTTCCTAATTTATCAGAGAACTCAACTAGCTAGATTGTTACTCTAAAATACATTTATCTTTGAAAAGCAAAATAATAGTTGTAAAAACACTATTAAAAATAATAAAATGCAGTGATCTGAAATATGGGTGAACATATTTACACATGAAAGTGTAAATATACAGTGCCATTCAAATACATACTTACAAAGGGAACGAATAAGTACCTAAAATAGTTTTGTTTATAAAAATTTTATATTAAAATATTTCTCATAATAAATAAGAGGTGATTTATGAATTTCATTTCCCTTTTAAAAATTATCTTTAGTAGTTTAGACTAATATAGCTTGTTAATCTGCTATTGTCTCAACAGATGAATTATATTAAAATGTTTAATAAAATCACACTGTTAGCAGAACATTTAAATAGTTTTAGGTTGTGAAAGTTTGGGATGAGCATGTAGTAAACTATAGGATACGGATTCCTAAAATGAAGCCAAAGGATAACCCTAGAAGGCTAGAGTACAGGGATCTATTTTATTAGACAAGGATGTTGAATATCTCCTGAGGCTCTGCTAATTAAATAAATGATCATAAAAATATGGCCCATGAACTTTCCTCAAATTTCTTCAGTATGCATGCTTGGCAGACTAATAAAGGGTAGAGCATGTGAAGTTTGGTTCAGTTGTTTATGGGAAAGTGTGACTTCATTCCTGTTCGTCCTACTTGCAGGCATGGTAACTTGGAATAGTTCTTGAGAAGCTGTTCAATAGCAACGTGACGGACATGGAGCTCTGAGGCTAAAGAATCTTTTTCTTGAACTTGGTGTGATAACTCCTCAAAAACTTCTGCAAAAATTTAAAAAGTAGTTTCATTTAGTATACAAAGCATAAGCTCCTGATTTATATTGTAAATAAATATGTACTCTTACTAAAATGAATATATTGGGCAACTTTTCTCAATGTGACTACTTTGACACCAAGGAAACAGTGTTCTCTTCAACAGTGTTCTTCAAACAGCGTTCTCTTGCTGATCAACACAGCAAGTCTGAATACTTGACATCTCTATGCATGCATCAAGTTTAACTAGAGTTACAATCAAATAAGTGCAAACATACACAACAGAAATGGTGATTATCTCGACTACATTCATTTCTCAATTTGAATATATAGATAGGCTCAACAATATTTAATTGTCTTTGGATAAGAAGTGCCAATTGCTATCCAGGTTTGGACACTCTTCCAAGAGGCTTTCCATCATATTACCTGGAATTTCAAATCCTTGTTCCTATATCATATGCCTCAGGAAAAATACTCTAATGTTTCTATTTCCTCTTATGTATAAGATCAATAATCCGAGCAAACACCTTACAGTATTACTCTAAGAATTAAATGATATCATACTTATAAAATGCTTGATAAATATAAACTGTGATTATTAGCATTACCATTATTCCTGAGGCTATGGGTTAAGACACACAGTTAAAAAAGGTTTTTAGTTTGCTACTGACTATATAATGTATGTAAGCAACTTAAAGGTCTCAAAAGTGCAATTTCATTACCTAACAGGGAATACATTGTAAAGAAAAGGAGACAGTTGGGGGGCATGTGTTTTTAATTGCTCCTATCATATTTGATGATGTTAAAATATTGTCAGTGTTTAAGATGTGATTACATTGCCATTGTTTTGGAAAAAAAAGTCATTTATTAGAAAAAGTTCTCAAGTGTTTATAGGCCAAACAGTAAAATGTCTGGGATTTGTTTCTAAATAATCCATGCAAAATGTTGGGCAAGAGGGAAGGACATTAAAAGAAAAAATTAGCAATACTTTAAAATAAAAGTTAAACACTGGTGATGATGGTCATTATATTGGTCTCACTACTTTTCTGCATTTGAAATTTATAATTAACAACAACAACAAAAAAGAACAAGGGCTGGGAATGCATCTTAGTGTAAGAATGTTTGTCTACCATGCATGATGCCCTGGGTTTGATTCCTTAGTACCACATAAACAGAAAAAGGCAGAAGTGGCACTGTGGCTCAAGTGGCAGAGTGCTAGCCTTATTCAAAAGAAACTCAGGGACAGTGCCCAAGCCCTGAGTTCAAGCCCCAGAACTGGGAAAAAATAAAATAAAGACCAAAACAAAAAGTCAGTGGCAATACTACTTGTCTGAAAGGCCTGTCAGGGATCACAACCCCACAATGAAGAAGAATATCATGATTAAAATGTTGATAATAGGTAAAGATTTATTGTACTCTCCATTTTTGCTTAGGAAAATGAAACTAAAAATTGTATTGAAATTCTACCTCATCTAGTCAAAATGGTTATCATCAAACAACAAAATAACAAACAACAAACAAAGGCTTGTGTGTGTGGGGGAGTGAGTTATTCACTAATAGTAGGAATGTAAATTAGTCTAGCCATCATGGACATCAGTAAGGAGGTTCCTCAAAAAATACAACTGCTATATGATCCTGCCATATCATCTCTGGATATACGAACAAAAGAACTGACATCAACTAACTTACTATGGAGATACCCATCTACCCATGTTTCTAACAGCAGTGTTAAACAATAGCTAAGTTATGGAGTCCAGGCTATGTACCCATCAAGGAATGAATGAAGAAAATGCTGCACATGTAGGAAGACAAAACAGAACAATTAAGGTCATGAAAGTAAAAGAGAGACCTCTAAGGAGATGAGAACAAGAGGAAGGATAAGGAAGAATAGCAGAGGTGCAAATGATCAAAATACAAATTTAAATACTACTGAAGCTAATTATGTCCTGCCATAGGAGACTTTCTATATCAAAACTTTTCATGTTATAAAAAAAAATGTTGAAACTTATTCTTTACCTTGGATTTGCTGTTGGAGCTTTGCATTCAGTTGCTCTACTTCACCAAGTGTCATTGAGTTCACTGAAACATGAAAACATACTCATTTTAAAATCACAAAAGGGAAAGAAAGCTGCTTAACACAATATACTAATTTAAATCACTGCAGTCACCTGCCAACACGGCATTCAGCAGTACTCCAGGATTCACTCATTAACTCGTGCAGTAAGTAGCTTTCAAGTCCTGGTCACGACCCCCAATTTTCACTATCACCAGAAATAACAGGAAACACATCACGAAAAAATACTTAATTGGCCTGCTGGATTCTGGTGTCTCCTATTTGAGTTTACAGAAAGTTCTAGTCACTTTCCATCAAGCTCATTTTGACTAAACATTACATAGCTCATGACCTGCTGTTTGAGCACACTGAAGTACTGTGGAAAAAAATTGAAAAATCAATTTGTCTATCTAGTTAAACAATCTTAGATAATTCACAGTATCAAAAAATTGTCTAAAATGGTGTTCAAAGTCCCTTCTGGTTCTAAAATAATTTGGCTTAAAGTCAATTAAAATTACCTCAGTTTTTTTTTAAGTTTTTATAGAAACAGATGCAGACAAAATGAATCGTTTCCTAATTTTAAAATTAAAACACAAATCACCTATAGATTAGTAAAATGTCAGACTTTTGCTTTTAAATGACACCTCCAGCCAGCTGGTCTTGTAGATATTTGTGATATTACAATGCTTACTACTTCACAGTTGAGGCTGCTAAAGCACTGGTGGCTCACGCCTGTAATCCTAGATACTCAGAAGGCTGAGATCGCAGGACTGTGGGTCAAACATAACAAGACATAACAAGACTGTTATGTTCAATTAACCACCAAAAAGCTGGAAGTGGAGCTATGGCCTTGAGCAAAAATAGAGCTCAAAGCGGCACCCAGGCCCTGAGTTCAAGACCCAGGACTGGCAAAAAACAAACAAACAAAAAACCCCCCAAAAATAGTTGAGGCTATACTTCTGTAAAGAGTATGAACTATGAGCTTTTTAATTCATGCTTTATGGATTCCTTTGATCATGACAAAATAAATGACAGACTTACTGAACTTCAGTGGGTAGCCCAAACTCAGTATTCCAGAGAGTTTAAAACTTATTTTGGCTAAGGTGAAGCTGTCATTTAAATACTATACATTAAAATACTACACATTAAAATCCTCAACATCAGACATGCAAAAATGTAAAAAGCAAACCAAAAAAATCTCCAAAACCTACCCTAAAGCAAAAGCAACCCACTCAACTTTCATCCTTTCATTCCTTGTGACTTACATTCCTCTCTGCTGAAATGTAGATTGTGTGTCTGGATGTTAGCTTCTGGTCTAGAGATTGGCTCTTCTTTTTTCTGGGCCTGCTTGCAACTATGGGACCACAATACACTGTCACGGCATAAAGTGGCACTTGAATCTTGTAATGTAGCGAGCCCAAAGTCTGTATTTCCCCTCTGCTCCAAAATCCTTTGTTTACAGTTTGAAATGCCACTTTTACTTCCATCTATCCATTTTGCAGAATATTTTGGCACTTGGGAGTCAAACTGTGGAAGTAATTTCTTATCTGGCTTATGTCTGAAATTAAGCAGGTGATGTTGGGAGGTTTTAGAACTTTCAGAATCGGACTCCAGATCTTTATTTTGTGCATATTGTACAATCCGGTTTATCTTCTTAGTCAAAATGGTTTTAACTCCTTCATAAGAACTTTTGGGAAGCTTAGGTCGAGGAAAATCCTGGTTTGCAATTAAGTGGAATTTTTCAAAGCAGTCTCTGTGGCCCCGTAATGATTTGGTGTGCAAAAGATTAGATTTTGGAACACCTAAAGGAAAAAAAAAAGGATGAACATTCAAGAAGATAAGACATTTCTATAAGCTGCTTTACCAATATACAAATTCTAGTAAAATACAGTCCCTGATAGTTATACAGTAGAGGAAAATATTAAAAATACTGACACTGGTAATAAAATATGGCTTAATACTTTCCACTTCTGCTTAACAATATATTCAGTAATATTCAGAATAGGGAAGTCCAAGGACTTACTGATTCAATGTGAGTATTAGTCCAGAGACACCTTATTGTATACAAATGAAAGAAATACTATACAACTACACCCACAGACTCTTGTACTTCAAATGATAATGTTTTCTTCACTAATCCTCTTTAAGTACATACTTAAAACTTTTTCTTTTTTAAGGCTCAGTAACAGAAATGCTCCACCTATTTTTTTCCTTAACAAAAATACAGGTAAAGCATATTCTTAAATTAGTACTTATGTTTTCACTGGAGAGAGATAAACCAGACTGAGAAAATACACATTAATATAAGCCTTGAAAAAGTGAATGAACTGTTTAATTTTTAAAAGGAAAGTGTCTTAATGTTTTTCACATTCCCATTTCATTCCTATTAAATCTTTATCAAGATAATTTTATCTTTTCAAAGAGATGAATTATACATAATTATTATGCACATAGTAGTAAATTCATTCTGCCAAGACAGAATAGTCAGTATAATTCTCTAACTCACAAATATTCACTACATACCATAAATAACAAATATTTGTATTACTTTAAATTTTTTTTTGGTAGGTTGTCAGGCTTGAACTCTGGGCCTGGGCGCTGTTCCTGAGCTCTTCAGCTCAAAGCGAGCACTCTACCACTTAAGACACAGCACCACTTCCGGTTTTCTGGTGGTTAATTAGAGATCAGACTCTCAAAAGACTTTCCTGCCAGGGAACCAGGCAGGATCCTCAGATCTCAGCCTCCTCGGTAGCTAGAATTACAGGCATCAGCACCCAGCACTCAGCATATTACATTTTTGTATCTGAATATGTATAAGTAGACCTTAAGCATACTATCTTATTTTCTAAAATCATATACATTGGATAGAAATTTCAATATGTCAGAATATGTTAGCAAATTTTCATAAGTTCAAGCCATATTATTAAATTCAAACAGCTCTTCTTTTAATATTGAAGGTAAATCAAAGAGTATAGCTGAAAATTAATGTCTTCCAGAACTAACAGTACAAATCCGCTTGGTTTTGAAACTAAGTAAACGGACGGCCATTCAGATTTTAGTTAGCCACGTTAGCTAACTAAAGTTAGCTAAGTTATTAGCTAAGTTGGAAAAGAAAAAGAAAAAAAACCATGGCCTACTTCCTTTACTTAAAAAAAACTCACTCAAAAAAAAAAAACTCCAACTCTAAATTCTGCTAATGGTAACACAATGATTTGCATTGTAATGGTTTGAAATGAGATATAACATGCTTGTGAATATTAATTTGTTCTAACAAAGTAGACTTAGCCAATGCTAGGACTTGCTGAGTTGCCAGAATGTGTAAGTTCCCTCACACCTGAAGCTATGTGAGCAAGGCTTCTAAGCACCATTAGAGGCATGCGCAAGCAAGTGCTCTCATGAGGTACAATTAAACATTTGAGACTTGTTTCTTCCACTGTGCATAAAAATTGCTTAAAGCTTAAATAGAATTTCCTAGACTTTTCTACCTACACTGAAAATATAAATTATATTTATTACTTAGCTATTTATACTGCAATCGTGTGTACATGTATTTCTACCAGGTTGATTAGGTCAAGTTTCTATCAACGTTCAAATAAGTTAACATGTGAAACGTCAAAGCTCTAATCGACATAATAGTATGTATCTTCACACTAGGAAAATATAAAAAGTTCACAACTCTTTTTTATTGAAATAAAAATATTGAAAGTTACATTATTCTCTACAATATAGAGTTTTATAAAGAGAAAAGGCTGTTGTTACAAGTTGTAGACCAAGGGCTGGGAAGGTGGCTCAGTGGTAGAGTGCTTGCCTTGCATGCCTGAGACCCTGGGTTCGATTCCTCAGCACCACATAAGCAAAAAGAAAAAAGCCGGAAGTGGTGCTGTGGCTCAAGTGATAGAGCGCTAGCCTTGAGCTGAAGAGATGAGGCACAGCGCCCAGGCCCAGAGTTCAGGCCCCACGACCGGACCCAAGAAAAACAAAAAAACAAAAAAAACAAACTGTAGACCAAATAAGAAATGATTCTTTGGGAAACACAGATACATAGGCAAACTTAAAACTTACTTTACTAATTTTATGAAATTAGTAAATTTTACTAAATCTACTAAAGAGCTTCCTTATTCTTCAAATTCCTTTGGGTCTAATTGTCAACTGAAGGCTAGCTAGTTAATCCCTCCAGACAGTAAATGATTTCACTCTTAGTCCACTGACAGAGCTCAAAGGTATGTGAACCAATGATTTAGTACATTCTGATATATGATGCAAGTGTCTTCTTCGCTATATAAGAAAGAAAACTTTTAACACTTTGCAGGTCTTAAACTTAAATTTTATGGAATTTTTGGTACTCAAACAGAAACTTCTGAGATTGTATCTTAAAAGGTAAAACCTAAACAATGACAGTCCTTATATACCTCAGAGCTACATCCCAACAAGAGGTCAATAGAATATGGACTTTAAAAAGTTTGTTTTGGAAGTGGCGCTGTGGCTCAAGTGGTAGAGCACTTGCTTTGAGCTGAAGAGCTGAGGGACAGCTCCCAGGCCCGGAGTTCAAGCCCCACGAACAACAACAACAACAAAAAAATAGTTTGTTTCTAGCTCAATTATACTTCATAATGATTAAAGGACTCATTTTACTTATACCATAGTTTTTCTTAACCTTTAAATCTCCACACCAATAACAAGAACCAAGAAAATCAAAACGATAAGAATGCTTCTAAAATATCTACCAAGATAGAAAATAAATCATAGAATTAAAGTAGTTGTAGGTGAAGCATATAAATTGCAAACACAATTCCAAATTCATTCAGACACTTGGGAACAAATTCCCTACAGAATACTTAAAGAGTACATTTCTTTTTTGGGGGGGGGCAATGTCACTCATTCCCCTCTTTTCTTTCCCAGTTTTTCCTGACATCCCACTCACAAGCTGCATAGTTCAATTTCAATACAGTGCTTATTAAGTACCTCTGCTGCATTTGTTCACCCTGTCCCTCCGTTTCTGTGCTAAGTGTCCACCTTAGGAGCTCCTTCCTCCCCCAATCTCAGATGCTTTGATGTCCTTCTTAATAGATTTTCTTTCCCCATAAGATCTAGTAACTATAACGTGTTGAAATTCTGCTTCAGTCCATTTTCACTGCAAACAAATCATTATCACTATCATCTCCTATATAAGTCTTCCTCTAAAAAGCATTCTGTAACTAATCAAAGAAGATTTCATAACAGCCTTAGTTTTTTTTTTTTTGGCTGGTCCTGGGGCTTGAATTCAGGCCCTGGGCTCTGTCCCTTAGCCTCTCTGTGCTCAAGGCTAGAAGATATATATATGCAAGTTTCTCTTAATACTCTACCACTTGAGCCACTGTGCTACGTTCAGCTTTTTCTGTTTATGTGGTACTGAGCAATCAAACCCAGGGCTTCATGCATGCTTGGTAAGCACTCTACCACTAAGCCACCTTTTTCCCAGCCCTATAACAGCCTTTTAAATTGGCTTTTGCCTTTTGCTAAAAGGAAAGTTCTGTGGGAAATAAAGGACTTTATCTTACAAGCATCCTCAGGTCTTGGTATTTGACACACAGTATGAACTTGAGAGTGTTTACATGCATAAGGAAAATCAAAAAGACATTTTAAAGACTGCTAAACAAAATTTTGCCCATCCTACTAGGTAACTAGGATGTGTAGTTCTGTCAGGTTGCACAGATCATACTTAAAGACAATAATATTAAGTCTGTTGGGCATTAGCCCATAGTCTAAGGAAATGATGCCAGGCACTAATATAGAGATGGCATTTCTGTGACAAGAAAACTATAAAGCTTTACATAAGTTTAAGTTGAGATTTAGTACACTAAATATACAAAGAGGTTCAGTAGGAACTGCACCTCTGATTTCCTTATCTGAGACAGTTAATACTTGAAAACAATTGGATTTCAGAATCCAACCTGATAATTGTTTTGCAAACGTATTTTTAAATATCCCATGCAGTAGCAGAGAAAACAAAAAGCAAGCAAAAATAACTTATTACATTATTGAACAAAAACTACTTCTAAGTAGAAAAGAATGTTAGAGCTCATTCTATTTATAATAGCAATATGCTCGTAACTTTATAAACTCTTGAAGTGATTTTTTTCAACTCATCATTTCTATCTAATGGTAGAGTAGCAATCATTGCTTTTATCAGAGATTTCAGTGAGTTACCCAACTGACTGTTTAATTTCAATTATAAGTGTAGATAGCTCTGAGCACTCATTTGTTTCAAAAACAGGCTTTGAAAGGAAATGATTTCAAATGCAATTAAATGAGCCAATACTTCTAAGGGGCAGAGTTATAAGGAATTTCCAAACCAGTTTAAAATTTGTGCTGCAATTTCCTGCAAAGGCCATTGGAATTGGCATCCTACTTATCAGAACACATTTAAAATTTGCCTCAAAGATACCCATGTAACTTTTATTTTTGCTATAAGGTTATTATCAAAGAACTAAGACTTTAGCTGACAAACATTACTACTAGTTTTATTTTTTACTGGTTTCTTTTGGACAGAGAATATTTGAAAACTTCAGTATGTTGGTGTCTGTAAAGGGTTTTTAAAAGTTAAACTGTTATTAGATTTCTTTTTCCATTTTTATCCCAGGAGTCTTACATATTCCATTCTTTAATGCTTTAAAAACTGACTCAGAGGGCTAGGAAGGTGGCTCAGTGGTAGAGTGCTTGCCTTGCATGCATGAGGCACTAGGTTTGATTCATCAGCACCATATAAGCAGAAAAAGTCAGAAGTGGCACTGTGACTGAAGTGGTAGAGCGCTAGCCTTGAGCT